CCTTGAAAGCCTGAGACGTTGCTTCCTACCGCGTGCTTGCCTGGCACGCGGTCAAAGACCCCTTCCTTCCATTTCCTGTATTGCATTAGGTTTAGTCCTGTCTGTCTCCCCTACAAAACTGTGCAGAGGACCGTGTCTTACTTATTTCTTCATCCTTAACACTTGGGACGGTGACTGACATCTAAACGTCTGTTGAAAAATGGACAGAGGGTGATCTCGCTCCAGAAAGTGAATTTGGTTACTTTGGTTTGACTTTAAAAGAAAAACACAGTTTGATCTCATGTGTTGAAACACCTTTCCTAACTGGCTTTTATGAGGAGTACATGATAGTTCTCTTGCACGTAACGAGTAGCCGAACGATGCTGTGGTCTGTGAGATGTCCAAGGATGCAAGTCTGAGTCAGAAAGATGTTCTTGCCAGCTTTCTTAAACATTCTGATCAGAATTCAATTAGAAACTAGGAAGTTCTGATTTGACATATCTAGTCTTTAATTTAGGTTTGTTATGAAAAGGTGAGAGCATTTGACTTCCTTGTACAAGGTATTTTCGTTTTGTGATGGTTCTCGACCTGGCTGTCCAATATGGTAACCACCAGCCACGTGGGGCTACGGAGTCTGTGAAATATGGCCACAAAACACACATGGGAGTTTAAAGACTCACTGTGGGAAAAAGAACGTAAAATATCTCATTAATATTTTTTATATTGATTACGTGTTGAAATAATATTTTGAACACACTGGGTCAGATAAAATAGTTATCAAAATTCATTTCGCCTGTTGCTTTTTAGTTTTTTGTATGTAGCTACTAGAAAAATTTAAGACATGTGGCTTGCATTATCTTTCTACTGGCTAGTGCTGATTGAGACCCTTCTTACCCTCTACTTCTTTGTACTCCAGACTATTCTGTTTCCTCTCTTCTGCCTCTAAAACACCACCCCCAACAACAAAATACCCAGCTCTGAAGCACCTACCATCCAACTATGTTACCTATGACCCTCCTCACTGTGACTATTTATACACCCCTGGGATGCGTTCCCATATTCCTTGAGGATTTTAGCACCTAGTTCACAGTTTTTTTTTTTTCTAACTGTATTCCACTATTCCCCAGTCATTTCAATGTTCATGTAGATAAGTCTTCCGAAGCCTGGCTCCAGGTCCTGATCTCACCTCAAATGACCTTGTCCTCCACCCTCCCTCAGCCGTTCTTTCCCATGGTCATACAGTGATAGCCCCAAATCTGCACTGCCACAATCTTGGTTGCAAGCAACCCTTTCTCCAGCCCCACCTCCTTTTTTCTGGTTCCCTACCTTCAGTACTTGGACTTCCTCAGTCGTCTGATAACACCAGGCTCTATCAGATGGCTCCTGTGTCCTGTTCACTGTCATCTCTCTCACGACCTCACCTTTCTCCTAACCCCATTGAATTCTGTAGTCCATCATGGCACCCATTCCCTTCCATGTGGTCTGATCCCATTGGCGCCTCTTGTCCACTGTTGCACCAGCCTGGGAAAACCCCGGGCCTGGCTAAATCCAACTCCCTCCTTCACCGTGCTCACACCTGGACAGCCGAACTGTAGCTGGAGAAAAACATGTGTCATGCTGAATTTTTAAATTCATGGGGGTTTAAAGACCCACTGGTGGGCTCTGATGTTTGCCCCAAAACTTGCTCTTTGTGTATTTCCCTGGTCCTTTCCCTCGTTCACTTGATTATTTCACATGCTACCCACATGAGGAGAACCCTCTGCCTCTCTTGACTCTTAGCTGATGATTTGGCTTCTTACTTTCTGAAAAAGGAGAAACTGTGCATTCAGAAGAGAACTTCTTCCAACTTCTAACACTCCTGCTGTCAGCCTACCTGCCTAACTGCATTTTTAACCACACACTCTGCCTTCCCTTCTGCTCTGATGAATAAAGTATGCTATCAGCAAAAGCCAGCAACTCCACCAAGCTCTAGAACCCTAAGTCATGAATCATCAACTGTTTCTTCTCTCCTGGAAAATTCTTATTAGCTTATCAACTCTCCCAAAACCCCTGCAGCCCTCTCCAGTTACTGCTCCATTTCTGCTTGAATTTACATTAAATTTCCTCAAGAGGGTTGTCTATACTCACCATCTCTACATGGAATCCATGTTGGTTAATCAGACTTTCATTTTCTCCACTCTGCCTAAACAGCTCTCATCAAGGTCAACAATAACTCTACTCTAATGGTCCATTTCCAATTCTCATCTAATTTGAACTTGGAGTAGAAGTTAGCACAGTTGATCATACCTTTGTGAAACACTTCTGCTTCCTGGACATCACTCTCCCTTGGTTGTCTCTTACCTCTCTGCCAGATCCTTCTTAGTTTCTTTTGCTTCTTTCTCTTCATCTCCCCACGACCTGTAAACTTTGAAATGCCCCAAGGATTGGTCTTTGGACCTCTTTTCCTTTATAATTGCCTATATTTCATAGATAATCTCATTTAGCCTCATGATTTTAAATCCCACCTGGTTGTGTACAATACCTGCATTTATATGCCCAGCCTGTACCTGTCTCCCTAGCTCCTGACACTCCTAGACATTCCAATTTGCATAGGCTTTTCTTTTTTTAAGATTTATTTATTTATTATTTGAGAGAGAGAGAGAGAGTTGGGGAGGGGCAGAAGGAGAGGGAGAGAGAGAATCTCTAGCAGACTCCCCACTGAGAGTGCAGCCTGACCCAGGACTCGATCCCACGACCCCAAGACCATGGCCTGAGCCAAAATCAAGAGTCAGACACTTAACCAACTGAGCCAACCAGGCACTCCAAGCGTAGGCTTTGCAAACTCAATATACTTCTCCTAACCCACTCCAACTGAACATTGTCTATTCAGTAAATGGCTGAAAAACTCATTCTCTCTCTCTACAATAACACATCTCACCCACCAACAAACCAAATGGCCTCCAGAATCCAACCATGTCTTGCTGCCTCCATAACCACATCCTAGTTCATGCATGGTCCGTGTTTTTTCTGTGTTGCACTTATTAGGACTTGACATCTTTTTATTTGTGGTTGTTGTTTGGTTATTGACTGCCTTCCCACTTGAGCAGAGACTCCAAGAGGTTGATGCTTGATCTATTTCCTTCACTGCCGTGTCCCAACACCTAGAATAGTGCCTGGCAGGAAGTTGGCTCTGAATAAATATTTGATGGGTGAGTGTGGGGAATGCGACTGTTTTACCTACAGACTTCTAACAAAGGCTGGTCTCTACAGCAGATCTTCGGTCAGCCATGCCACAGTATTCTGAATTCTGGTCCTGGTGTTGGGCTCCCGAAGGTATTGGGGTCTATTTCTTCTGTTTAATTATGAAATGGAAGGAGAACTTGCCCCAGTGAAAATAACTGCCAGTACCTCATCAGAGCAGCTGAGGGAAGTGTTAGTCAGGAGATGGGCATCAGGACAGCGGAGGCAGAGGTCCCCTGGGCTCCTGGCGCACACCACTGGAGAGGTAACTATCCTTCTCAGCAGGCCGCCTGCGAGTCTGGGTGTCACGCACAGCTGTACTGAGCCCCACAAGCAGAGTTGTGCCAATGCTGGGCTTCTGCTGACTCAATCCTGAAAACATCTAATATCATCGAGACGTGCAACCTTGATAAAATATTGCATCTCTGCACTGTTCTGCTTCAGGGAAGCTTGTGAGGAAAAGGCAGATACCTATTAATTTAAAATATTGGTTTGGGGCGCGTGGGTGGCTCAGTTGGTTAAGCGACTGCCTTCGGCTCAGGTCATGATCCTGGAGTCCCTGGATCGAGTCCCGCATCGGGCTCCCTGCTCGGCGGGGAGTCTGCTTCTCCCTCTGACCCTCTCCCCTCTCATGTGCTCTCTCTCATTCTCTCTCTCTCAAATAAATAAGTAAAATCTTTAAAAAAATAAAAAATAAAAAATAAATAAAATAAAATATTGGTTTGATCAACTTCCTACAGGTTAATTATTTTGCACACGGAGGGACCCTGGTCTACAAGGTCAAAATTCAAAAATAAAGAATAGTATTTTACCGCCACCATCAAAATGACAATAACAACAACGACTTGACAAAGTCAAGGACAAGTTAAAGTTGGCACCAGGGGGAGGATCTCTGCCGCTGCCTACCTCGTCCTTTCTCCAGTGGGGAAAGTGGCATCTGTGTATTTGTTACATAACAGGAAGAGGGCGGAGACTGCACATATATTTATTTTGCAATTCATAGACATGTGATAGAAAGTTTCTGCGAATCTTTGCTTTGCAGTCTCAAATATTCAGTGTTTCTATTGGTATCCAGTTAGTGCTTTGTTGACTGTCTGTCAGTAGTGTTTTCCTGCATGGTCTGGCCTGTGCTTTGTGGCGATGTGACCACACCTCGTTAAGACCTCACCATCTGTCACTCAGAGCGTTGGTTTCCCTGGCTCACCTAGTCTGGGGAGGTGCCCAGTTTTGTCACAGATATTGAGACCACATAAGACAAATGCCTTCTCATTGTTCACACTTGCAAAAATATTGGTACACAATTGAACATAATTTTGCTAGCTATTTCCCCTCATTTATCCATCCTATACGGCACTTCATTCATTAAAAAAAAAAAAATGACAACAATAACACTGACCAAACATATATTTTGTCTTGGCACCTGAATGCAATTAATCTGGTTCCTCAAAACGGGAGACAAAGGTGCAGAAGATGAATGATTTTCAAGATGCCATTCTGAAAGCTTGGGCCAGGCCAGACATGGACGCCAGGCACTCTGACCCTCCTGCTTCGCTGGATCCCTTTGGCACTGAGCCACAAACAAATAATAATACAGAATTAAGGGCTATTGCTGGACCGAAAAATCATGAAATCAGTTCTCTTTTCTGGTGAAATGTCTAATTTTGTCATTGTCAGAAAAAGAATTGTACAGTCAAACATATTTGTTAATAACATGAAGTTCGTGATCCATTGCTGAAATTTTCCCTTCTCCCCTAGTACAATTTTCATGCTGTCTTTTTTGTTTTTGTTTTACCTATTTATAGAAAATTACCTAAAGAGCCCCTGCCTGAGGCCTCCTCATGGATGAGTCGAACGTGACGTCATTCGTTGATGAGAGGTCCACGAACGCCTCCACCGCCAGGAATACCTCTGCCGGGGACCTGCGTCGGGAAATCCCAGTTGTGCACTGGGTAATTATGAGCATCTCCCCTCTGGGCTTTGTCGAAAATGGAATCCTCCTCTGGTTCCTCTGCTTCCGGATGAGAAGAAATCCCTTCACGGTCTACATCACCCACTTGTCTATTGCAGACATCTCGTTGCTCTTTTGTATTTTTATTCTGTCTGTTGACTATGCTTTAGATTATGAGCTCTCTTCTGGCTATTACTACACGATTGTCACATTATCAGTGACGTTTCTGTTCGGCTACAACACGGGCCTCTATCTGTTGACGGCCATTAGTGTGGAGAGGTGCCTGTCTGTCCTGTACCCCATCTGGTACCGATGTCATCGCCCCAAGCACCAGTCGGCGTTTGTCTGTGCCCTCCTGTGGGCGCTTTCGTGCTTGGTGACCACCATGGAGTACGTCATGTGCATTGACAGTGAAGGGCAGAGTCACTCTCGAAGTGACTGCAGGGCAGTGATCATCTTCATTGCCATTCTGAGCTTCCTGGTCTTCACTCCCCTCATGGTGGTGTCTAGCACCATCCTGGTGATTAAGATCCGAAAGAACACGTGGACGGCCCATTCCTCGAAGCTGTACATAGTCATCATGGTCACCATCATTATCTTCCTCATTTTCGCCATGCCCATGAGGCTCCTGTACTTGCTCTATTATGAGTATTGGTCAGCCTTTGGGAACTTGCACCATATTTCTCTTCTTTTCTCCACAATCAACAGCAGCGCCAACCCTTTTATCTACTTCTTCGTGGGCAGCAGTAGGAAGAAGCGGTTCAAGGAGTCCTTAAAAGTGGTTCTGACCAGGGCTTTCAAAGATGAAATGCAACCCAGGCACCAGGAAGACAATGGCAACACCACCACAATTGAGACCGTGGTCTGAGGATGGTGGCGGAAAACCGTGGACAAAAATGGTGGGGCACAGATAATTTGTACTTTGTGCTTGGAATACTGCTTAAGTATGTCCTAAATATGACACAGAAGGACACCGCATCCCATATGCATGAGATACTCATTAACGATAAGACCGTATCCTTGTACTGTATCTTCTGAAAAAGCCTAAAAATGTGTTGGACCTCTCTCATTTCTGTACCTATAAAAAAATCTTGGTTCCTCCTCAGCTCTTCCAGCAACATTTCCCATAAACTGTAGAAATTACTCTAGCAGGAAGGTGTGCAGGTGAGTACTGGAAAAGGTAACAAAAGCATTTGTTGGAACTTGAGAAGGTGGAGTCACGTAGCAGGAAGAACATGGGCTTTGGAGTCAGATCGACTCTGTCATTTGCTGCCTGGGGACCTCAGACAAGTGGTTTGACCTCTAAGAGCCTCTTGTCCTCACTTATAAAATGTTTAATAGTAATAGTCCATCCCTCCCAGCCTTGTGGTGAGGATGAAATGGGGAGATGCGGTATGCTGAGCACTTGGCACATTGTCAACCCTCAATAAACATTAGTCTTTCCTCCTTGAAGTGCAAGAAGAAAGACATACTTCTGTTTTGTAACTTGCGCATGTGTGCACGCATGCATGCACACACAGCTCTACCGTGTACAAATATTGTTATGTGTTTTCCAATGTTGAATGTACATCTATGAAGGTCTTTCTGCTTGAAGCATGAAAGCTTTTCACGGAACAACACCTCTGCTGGAAGCATCTGCAGATGTTACAACATCCAACCATCCATGTGTCAGAGCATTATTTCAGGTTGTGAAGAAAAACATTTGGCCACCAGTAGAGGAGTTTCTCATGGCTCTTCCTTCCCTCTGTCGGAATGCTTGGTGTAATGAAAGTCTGCTTGGAAATCCTTTGCTTGACATAAGTTTTCATGAATGGAACTTAATTCCCAAGTTTGTGAGGGTGACTGTGTTTTTGGAGTTTCCCCTCCTGCCCCCATGAAGTGATGGGTTATTTACAGCCACAAAGTTCTGCGCCTTGAACCCTTTTTCCTCATGAGCATTTCTTCGCGGTAGTCCTGGGAGGAGGCCACGCAGCAGGGGCTGATGAGAGTTTTGGTCACATCTTGGAGGGGACCCGGGCATTTTTCCCAAGAAAATCTGTGCCGGACTTGGTCAATATCTTAGTGCTCTGCTGCTCGCCTGCCATGACTTATGTCTGAGTCTTCAGACAGCATGTCCTGGGTCTTCCCTAGGAAACACATCATGGCCCATAGACCATATTACTATGTTTCATTTCCTTCTGCCCCTTCTAGGTGCTCCACGAAAATGACAATGCTTTGTGTGGTCCTAGGGGAGTAAAATGTTCATGCCTATAAATGAACCCATTAGGATTTATCTTAACCGTTTGTCTCCAAAGGGCCAGAGACTTTTTAGAAGTAATGTCCATTTCTTCTCCATCCTGACTTTCGAAAAGAATGATCACCTGTGATCTGATCGGGGTGGGGGGGGGCACTGATCAGGGTGGGGGGCAGCTTCATTGAGGGAGATGTGCAAGTCTCTCCCACCCAGCCGAGTTTGGAGGCAGGCGGCTCTTCAGTGGGTGATGATATCTGATTCAGAAACCAGGCAGCTTGCTTTCAGGAGCCCAGATGGGTGTGGAGTGCTGACATTTAGAATGATCTTGTTTTTGATGGAAAACAGAGCATCTTCCTTGGGAAAGAACAGAATATGGAGGTCAGAGCGGCCCTCTGTTTGCCACCATCCCCCTGGTGCTGCGCTGGCCTCTGAGGTAGGAAAAAGGAATCAGCCTCATCTCATCTCAAAGGGATCTTTGGTCTCAAGGAGGAACCTAAAGACTCCTGGGAAACAAGGACTTTTCACCCATGGAAAATACAGTGAACTCATGAGAAGCTCCACTGATTGCCTTCCTGCAGATAAAGTGGGGAAATTGAATGTGATCATAAATATAAAAATTCTTCTGGATTTTTAAAGAACAATGCCTTCCAAACAGGTAAGATTCAGAGTTTAGCAGTGTTGTAAGGACAAATTCCTTTCTCTTACCTAAACCCATTCCCCAAAGTGAACTATAAGGTTAAAACTAAAACAGGAAGAGTTAAGTAAATGCGCACATATGGAGGGGAGTCGACTAAATGATTTGTACCCCTTGTGCATGGAGACACTTTGCCCGAGTCATCATAGGCTAAGGGAGTGCCATTTCTGCGACTTCCCTGGGCCTAGGGAGAAGGTTGTTCAGATATAATGATTGTTCTTGATGAAGGGAACAGATATTCAAGGATGGTCTTCTCTGCCAGACTCCATGACGTGAACAAGGCCAGGATGAGCATGTGGAAACCCCCTATGGTCTAGAATAGTAGCAGAACGCACACGTGTACCTACAGCTCCACACTGCACACAAATCAACGATAGGGGAGTGTTCTAAACAAAGTTGTGTTGCAGTCAAGAGGAAGGCAAAATCCCATCTTTTGTTGTAAAAAAAAAGGGACCGTGCCATGGAGGTGCCCTTTGCAGGTAGGAGAGGCCCAAGCAAGGGCACACACACTGCCACCAGGGAGAAGCAGAGCCAGTCACTGTCACTGCCACGGGCTGGCTGGAGAAGCGGACCTTAGAGACTCACGTGGTCCTGCTCACCACCCCACTCCTCTCTTTTGGATGCTCTGCCTTTGGTCTTCTGGCCTCACATTCTTCAAGATTCCTGGACTATAGCTCCCAGGCCTTCTCTCCACATCCTTTCTCACTGACATCCAGCCTTGCCATGGGTGGCGGCCCAATTTCATATCTCCACAAGTCATCCACTGGCCTCCTTGAGGTGGCCAGGTGACCAGGCAACCTCAGCTCCTCTCCTTTCTGGGCAACACTCTGAGCCTTACGGCAACTCACACCAATCTACTTCTGAAAACAAAAATCCCCCAGGGCTGCCTTCTGACCATGCTCTCCCGTCCTTCACATCATTCACTTCCTGACCCCCACTGACTTACCAGACTCAGCTGGGCTCCAATCCTGTGTACCCAACCACCTAAAAGACATTTGGACTTGATGCCTTGCAAACACCTCAAGTGCAACCTGTCCAGTTCCCCACCATTCCTCCTCTATTCCTTTCTCAGTGAATGACACCACTAGTTACACTGTCACCCCAGCAATCCTATTCCCTTTGCACAGATTGCTCTTCTCTCTTTTTAATCTAGCAAACTCCATTTATCCATCTATATCCAGCTCATGGATCAGCCACTCAGGAGTGCCTTCCTGGACCCTGAGTACCTGGATGACAATTTCACAGTTTGCTTTCTTTTTCACAAGAATAGAAGCAACTAGAAGAAATCTTCCACATCTTACCAACATCATATCCATGGATCTAGCTGCATCTTTCTGCACATAGGCTTCTCCCTTTTTATTCTGAGGGAACTCACTGTGCCCTTGGCTAAGGTGAGCCTTCATACCTGGGCTAGGTACAATTTTGGTAGGTACAGTTTTGAAAAATTATTGAAAAATTATTCCAAAAATTATTAACCTTTTTCTGTGACTAAAAGCAAGATATTGTTGCTTCTCAAGGATCTATGGGTTGACTGAACTCAGCTGGGTACTTCCCATTTGAGGTCTCTTATGGCTGCAGTCAGATGTTGGCTGAGGCAGCAGGGGTCTGAAGGCTGCACTGGGTGGGGAATCCAAGATGGTGCACTCATGGGGTTGATAGATGGCTGTGAGCTCAGCTGGAGAGATTGTCCAGAGGTCCTACCCTTGGCCTCTTGATGTGGCTAGAGTTTTTTACAACATGGCAACTGTGTTCTGAGAGGAAATTTGCTGAGAATGTGCTTTTCCAAGAGGCCAAAAATCAACTGTTAATTTCTCACTTATTTGAATGAATTAGCATGTGGTTGAAATTACAAGTTTTTTCCCTCTTGTTTCATTCACATGTAACTGACATATAACATTGTATTCGTTTTAGGTGTACAACATTACAATAAGTTTTGATAAAGGCACAATGAAAAACTTTCTCATAATTCTAATTTCATTTTTCAAGATAATGTATTTCCCCCCACGATTTACTATGAAATCTTGGTCCTCATTTTAATAAGATTCCCTTCTAACAAACTTTTACAAAAACTAGTCATCCTTGGATATGGAGATCCTCTTGCGCTAATTATTTTTAAATGTGTACATATGAGTGTTAACACAAGGGTTGAGTTGTCAAAGCAGACTCAATGTGAATTATAGATCTTACCCAATGGAAAGGTAATGATTCAAATGTCACGGGCAAGTGCAGGCACAAATGAAACCCTCTTTTCTGGAGGAACCCCAGACTGAGATGAAGCTCCCAAAACATCCCCTTTTCCTACCTGAGAATGTAGTTTAGCTTTAAGCTGATGAGTTTTGAGCAATGTAGGTGAACACATTGTTTTCAGAGGAAGGCATTTAGGTTTGGGGTGTGTCCATTTTTGATAAAATTCTATTTATCACCCAGAAAATGTGTGTGTCACTATTCCTTCTTCTCTAGTCTTCTGTGTCCCATAAATCTATAAATTCCAAATTTATTTACAATAACCAATCTTGACAGATCAGCTCTATCCTGCTGAAAATAGGACGAGTTTCCCAAGTATAACACTTTTATAAAGCAGTCTGAATGAGATGAGTGTCTTTGCAAGGAGCCCTCACTGAGGTCATTCATTCCCCAAAGCACTCCCTGTAGGGAAGGAGCAAGTTACACCTGCTGCTTACGCTTCCTTTCTAAGGCCTCAGCCAACACCAGGACTGTGAATGTCTGAGGCGGAGACTGCTTTTACTGCAAGGCAGGCAGAGAGGAGGACCCTGCCCTTGCAGTGAGAAGACTAGGACTTAAAGCCTAGTCTTAAACACCAGCTGTGTGAGAGTCAGCAAGTTTCCTCCCAAAGCAGATCCTGAGGCAAGGATTTGATGCAAATTATTTATTTAGGAGGTCACCCTAAGCAGCGACGGAGGGATTGAGATATTCAGACAAGAAAGAGAGGAAGCCAATATAGAGTGAGTTAGTGAGTAGAAGCCCAGGACAGTGGACACTCCTGAGAGACACATGTAACCCACTCAGAACTGCCCTCCCAGAGGGGTGAAGACGGTGCTGAGCCACCAACTCCTGCCTCTTGTAGGCAAAGATTGCTCTTTTTTTTTTTTTTTTAATATTTTAGTTATTTATTTGACAGAGACAGAGATAGCGAGAGCAGGAACACAAGCAGGGGGAGTGGGAGAGGGAGAAGCAGGCTTCCCGCAGAGCAGGGAGCTGGTGTGGGGCTCGATCCAAGGACCCTGGGATCTTGATCTGAGCCCAAGGCAGACGCTTAACGACTGAGCCACCCAGGTGCCCCAAGGCAAAGATTGCTCTTAAGAGTGACAACTCCCAGCTCCTCTGGGCATGCCCTGTGCCCAGGCAGAGCACAGCCTGTTGTGAGAACACCTTGAGGCAGAGAGGCTCAGAAACCTTGGGCAGGTGCAGGATGTGCCTGCAGGTGACCTCAGGGTGGCTTTAGGACTAAACAATAGCATTTACCTCACAAAGCAGCCGTGCCAAATATAAGTGAGATAATGTGTGTGAAACTCTGCATAAACTGGGAAACATCAATCAAAAGGCAATTATTCCTTGGGGCACCTGGCTGGCTCAGTCAGTAGAATATACAACGCTTGATCTCGACATTGTGGGTTCGAGCCCCACATTGGGTGTAGAGATCACTTAAAAATTAAAAAAAAAAAAAAAAAAGTCCTTGAGGACATAGTGCTAAGTGAAATAAGCCAGGCACAAAAGGACATGAGATGCCTGGAGCAGTCAAATTCATAAAGACAGAACGGAGAAGGGTGGCTGCCAGGGACTAGGGCGAGGGGCATGGGGAGTTAGTGTTGAGTGCAGACAGGGTTTCAGTTTGGGGAGGTGAGAAAGCTCTGCAGATGGATGGTGGTGATGGGTGCACAGTATTGTGAATGTACTTACTGCTACTGAAATGGACACTTAGGAATGGTGAAAATGATAACTTCTATGTCATGTATACTTTGCCACAATAAAAACAATGAGTTCTTATACTTTCAGGACACTAGGTGTGCTTCTCAGTATGCTTGAGCGTCTGGCCCACCGATGGGCCCCAAGCCAATGGTGTTGATGACAAGGAATGAAGACAAACTCGTTGCTCTGGGGCGTGTCCCACTGGTACCGTCTTCTGTGTGAGCGCAGACATGGGGCTCATTAAACAAGCCCTCTCACAATCCGTGTGGTCTCCCCGGCAGCAGCCCTACACGATCTCGGCGGAGCCGTTGCAGATGGCCAGAGGGAGACCATTTTGCGCTTTGTGGGCCATACAGTTTGTGTTGCAATGACTCAACTCCGTCCCTCTTTGTATGAAAGCAGCCACAGATGATATGTCAACGAGTGAGCATGGCTATGTTCCAATAAAACTTTATTTACAGATACTGAAAATTGAATCTCGTGTAATTTTCAAGTGCCATAAAAATGTATTTTTTCTTCAACCATTTGAAAATGTAAACAACTACTGTTAGTTTGTAGGCTGTATAAAAAACAAGTGGCAGCTGGCTTTGGTGGCCGCGGTGCTTTGCCACGGCTGACCTAGAGTATTCTGGGATTCCCTCTTCTGGAATCGCTTTTAATGCGGCCGAAGCACAGCCATCTACAATCCTGACCTCAGTGGTGGCAAATCTTCACTGTGCCCTGAGCATCTGACTTTGCAAAAGGACCAGCAGACACCTCGACTCAAACCTGATGGATGAAATTGGCATAAATGTGAGAAACATAAGGTGATACTAGAAAATGAGGGAAAGATTTCTGGTGGTAGCTAACTTGGCTATAAATAAATTTCTTTTCTGTACTCAGATCACTTTATTCAGTCATACCAAACTAGATGCTCTGGATTCAGAAGAAACTATTGGAGTTTTTCAGAGACTAGGAATGAAATGTTCATGTGTAAGAATTCATGTTGGGATTTTAGAAAGATAAAGAACTCACATATGGCTTTTGGGTACAGCATGAATAAACTCTAACTGCTGACAAATTTGAAAACCAGAACATTCCTAATACTGGGTTGATTAGCACTTGCAAGCTTTGTACTGTCACCATCTTAAACAAGGAACATAAGCCTGCCTAGAGTTGTGGGGTAAATATTTCAGGATGTTATTAATGCAAAGGTCATTATCACACTGATATATTGATGTATGCTTTTGATCAAAGTGTACCCTTAAAGTAATTTGCTCTTGGGCAAGTGTAGAAAGAGAAAAAGATTCCTTAAAACACAATAAGGGCACAATGAAACACCATTAAAAGTCCTTCAACCTCATTAGCCCTGGTTGAGTGTAGTCGAATGTTTATGGGAAATCAGAGAGAGGTCCTGAGGGCTTCCTACCTTTCTTCTTCCAGGGAGAGGAGATAGATGACACCCCAGGGACAGAGCGACCCTTTCCCTTTCTGCGTGAAGGAGCCAGGGACTCACTAACAGAGCGTGTGTGTCACAGTATTGATCGTGTTCCGGGAGAGCTCAGCACCTAAAATCTTGCCTCTTATTTCTACAGACTGAGAATAAGGGTTATTTTCCAGGCGAATGTCAGGATCGAAGGGCCTGCTGTCAGACACGTGAAGTAGGGACGTCAGTGTTAGTCTGACGTGGATAGAGCTGGTCCATTGGTGGGCTGTCCTCCATGTGTGGCTGTTTTCTCCGGGCCTGTCTCGGGGAAGGGGGAGGACGATGTGCGGCACGCTCTCCACAATGACACTCCGAGTATTACCATTCATAGACGGTTCCTGCTGGCTTTGACTTTTCCCTACAGACCTCATTCCCAGCTTCCAATCATTCTGCTTATTCATCCTAAAGGGGGGTGAACTGAGGTGGGAGAAGAGCATGCTGGTGAGGGCAAAGCATCTGGGAGGGCCACAGACAGACTAGAGGTGCACCCCCTGCCCACTCCCACACAGGGGATAGCACTGCTGGCTGTGGAATGAAGGAGAACACGCGGGAAAGGGCCTGGGACACCTGAGGAACCTGGGCCCTGTCTCCTGGGTGATAAGAGATGAGCCTGAGTGCCTGGAGGTGCTCATCGAAGTTTTGCTGGATTCAGTGAAGGGACTGTCAGGGAAGATGAGGCAGGACATCCAAGTCTTAGGAGCTCAGCAGTGTCTGTTGCACCAGTGAGACCTCCACAGGGTAAGCTCTCTCCGGAGGGTCCCAGAGAGGCCCCGGCCCCCGCCTCCATTCACAGCCTGGACGGGGACTGATATTGACTCAGAGAATGTTCCCCACTCTACGCTAGGAGGCTCCCTGATAGGGTCCTGGTCTACAGGGGGACCAGACTCAGAGGAAACGTTGAGAAAATTGTGTGGTACTTCAACAGAATAATTTCCATTTAAATGGAAGAGTCTGTTAAATGTAATAATTAAAATACTGGACTTGTGTTTTGTATGACTTTGTTTTTCATTTCATTTGTCATGTCATTTTTACGATATTTTGAAGAAAAAAAAAAGTCTGCGAAGCATTGGAAATAAAAGCAGAGGGAAACATCCCTTGCCACGGGTCATGAGGAAGCCCAGGTGGAGGCCCATGACTTAGATTCTATTTCTTTTTCTTTCTCTTTCTGGGGACTTGTGCTTAACTGTAGCGTTATAATGTTGTGTTATGTCGTGTGATGCTAGGTCTAAAGAAAAGCAGTCGTCAGTGGTGTAAGGAATGGAAAGTTCTGGGGTTTTATGGAGGAGACTCCACATCAGATGGAGTTTGGCCAGGTTGCTGCTATTGACATTGCTCCCTACCCCTATCACCTGGACACCCCCCGGACGCTGAGCTACCGCTGCCTGCTGCCCCCACACGCCACTACCATGATGCTTCAGTCACAGATTTGTCTGTGCAAAGTCCAAGGCGAGAGCACAGCTGGAAACACCATGTACATATTCACATCCTGCCTTTGCGCCACTCCCTTCCCTTGTGGGACCCGAGTTGCTACATTCCAAAAATGCTACACATAATGGGACACTCAAGACCGGTAAGTGCCTGCTATGGCCATGCCTTTGCCTGCCCAACATTCCACACATCCTTTCCCCCTTTGTAAGCCCCCCACGCCCTCCACACGTGCCTCCCTCCCCAGCTCAGAGCACTTCCAGTGAACACATCCAGCTCCGAGTCCGGGGCGTCCAGGTGGCACCCTTTCCTCTCCCTTTTTCCGGCCCTGGGATCCTTCATCTGGGTTTAGAGAGAAGCAATGAAATAGAAAACGCTGAAAGGGAGAAAATCACAGCGTAGCAAATATTCATCATCTGGGTAATTCGCCTCTAAAAAACTGGGCTATTTTTCATTCCATTCACCCTCTGTTGAACATCAATCTGCACACCCCTGAGATAATGAGTTCTACGGTATAGTGTTTTGCACGATCTACCTGTGCACGAGTTGCTAATAAAAAATTATGTAATGACAGGCCGCTGGATTTTTTTTCAACTCCATGATTTTTCACAAGAAGCTAAGGCAACAAATTTCTGTATTGCTTCTAGAACGCTGAGCAGTTTTATGTTTGTGTATGTGCTGGACTCCTTGTGTTTTAAACAGAAAGGGGAGAGTTGATTTTGTGCAGCGAATTTTCCACATCTCTTCCCGCAATATTCTTTTCTGGAATGCACGTGAATTCAGAAGTAAGACCAACTGGCCAGAGTTGTGAGACTTTATTTGTGTCAACAGTAATACCTACTTCATGAGAAGTAGAGATTAATACCGCTAACTTGAATAGCTATTTGCCAGATACTTCTCTTTGGGCTTCACATACGTATCTCATGTACTACTCACAACCTCATCAGCATATACTTTTATTATGTCTATTTTATTGACCCATCTCCTAAAACTAGTGAATGGCAGATCCAGATTCAAACTCTGACAGTCTGACCCCAGAGCCTCTACCCTTCATGTTACTCAAACATTCGATTATTTCTCATATTGACCAAAGACCTGCTTTCACTGTTAATCCTGAAGAGGAAGTTGAGAAATTTATATGTCATGTGGATGACATGAGGAACCACTGGGGAAAGATGAAGATGTTCCTTCAAGCTTAATATCTCTCACAGAGATAAGTAGTGCAGAGTTTAGGGTTAAGAAAATGAAACCTCGGTGTTCTGGCTCCTTCATCATCCCTGTCTTCCTCCTCCAGCCCAGCTGCCATAGCTCGGTAGTTACAGTTAAACTTCATGGAAGAAATGAACTTGGGACCATGCCAATGTTCCCATTTCAGGTTTCAAAGGAGGGTTCTGCGTTAAACTGAGCTGCCCCTGCCTACAAACAAGACAAGAAGATCCCAAGGAGTGGAGAACATAACGCTGGGACCTGGATCCTGTTTTTAGGGAGCATCTGGAAATTCCCGCTTGAGGGTCATTTTTCACCTGGTGGTTGTTCCTCCTGAAAATGAGTCCTATAGTCCTGTCCCTTGAAGGAAGCAAATGACATAAATGTTCCAGAGCAGAACCTGACAAGTTGGAGGGTACAGCATGAAAACATATGACAGATGGGGTTGGAAACATGAAGGGCAGTTCTATGGCATCTTGAGAGTAGGGGAGAAATTAGACCATAAAACATAAGGCTAAAGGACGTGACAAAATACTTGAGCAATGAACTAAGAAGAAGGACATTGGTTTGAGAAAGATAAGAATTAACAGTACACAAAGTTATGAAAAAAATGAATTCTGTAATAATTAGCAGGAATCTATATCTTCTTTCATCAAAAAGCTTAAATGATTTGAAATGAAATTAAAAAAATGTATGGACCCCATCTCTCTTCCCCGTTTTTGGAGTGCCTTCCTTTTCCAGAATGATCCAGACCAGGCCCATCCACTGTTCTATCTTCAAGCCTCTGGCGAAGCCTCATCTTCAACAGCTTTTGTCCCTCAAGAACTGTTGGATGAACGAACAAAGAAAGCTTTCAGATAAAAAACTAATAAACTCTTTCCCCTTCTGTGTGCTCAGATTCTCTGCTTTTGAAAATTCCTTTGGTGCAACCATGACATCCACCTTTGACCGACTGACACCTCTACCAGCCACCACCCTGCATTTTCACTTTACCACACTCTTGCAATTAATATTTTGTCACTCATGCTACATAATATATGTGTACTATATCATATATAGTTTATTTGGTGTGTTTTTGTATAAAAATTATATCATATTCTATGTGGTTTCCTGCAAAATTTTTTCCCTCAGCATTATGTTGAGGGAATTCACCTACGCTGTTGTGTGTAGTGTACTCCATTTATTTTGACTGCTGAAATATAGTCCTATATTTGCCTATGGGCAAATAGACCACATTTTACTTATTCTCTTGTCAATGGACTGTTTCCAGCTTGTTAGCTTTTTTAAACTGAAAACATTGCTGTTTAGAAGCTCTTCTATACACATCTCCTCGTATGCTTGTGCAAAAATTTCTCTTGGGTATGTACCTAGAATTAGGATTGCTGGGTCAGATTTACAAAACAATGGCATAGTGTTTTCTGAAGTTGGCTGGATCAGGTGGAGTGAGCCAATTCACACTCCTCCAAAATACCTGGATACAGCTGACCCCCTCTACACTTCTCAGTATTCACCAGTCTAGATGGTACATTGTTGTAGACCTGATTTGCACTTACCAGGTTGCTAAAGAGGATGAGCATCTTGTTATGATTCTTGGCCCTTCAGGCTGCATCCCTCCTCTCCCCAAATTCGTGTCCACTCAGAACTTCAGAATTTGACCATTTCTGAAAATGAGGTACTTGTAGATGTAATTAGTTAAGTTACGATGAGGTCATCGTGGATTAGGATAAATCCCGAATCCAATGACGTGTCCTTATAAGAGGGCCATGCAAAAAACAGATATGTATGGAGGAGAGATGGCCATGTGAAGGCAGAAGTCGAAATTGGAGATATGTCTACAAGTAAAGGGAGGCTAGAGATTGCCAGCAAAACCCAGAAGCTAGGAAGAGACAAGGAAGGATTCTTCTAGAGAGCTTTCAGAGGAGCACGGCACTACCAGCACCTTGAATTTTTTCCATGGGTTAAATTTTTAAAAATCTCTCTGGCAAGTCTTAATTTGCCCTACTTACTTAAATGTCTTTAATTACTATATAGCCTTATATAAGTCTTGATATCTAATAGGAAAATTCCCCTGCCCTATTCATTTTATTTGGGCACGGTATATAGCAAATGATGCCAATCTGCCCACACCCCTTTGGATTCCTTTACATTCTCTAGTTCACTACCAGTTTTTCCTGGGAACACTTTCTAATAAGTCACTTTTAGATGCGTCCCTCTGTATCCCTGTCTCAGAGTCTTCTGGGGAACTATTTTAACACTTTGGTATTCCACATACATTTAGAATATCTTTTCAGGTTACATGAAAATTCTGTTGAGATTTTGTTTGGAATTGTATAGAATATATAATAAATTTGGGGGAGACCTATACCCTTGTGATATTATATTTTGTTACACATGAATATGAAATACATCCCCACTTATAGGTCTTCTTTAATAACTTTCAACAAAGGTCTTATTATTTCCTGAGTGATGATCTTAAACATATTTTATTTTATTTTATTTTTTTATTTTTTAAAGATTTTATTTATTTATTTGAGACAGAGAGAATGAGAGACAGAGAGCATGAGAGGGAGGAGGGTCAGAGGGAGAAGCAGAGTCCCTGCCGAGCAGGGAGCCCGATGCGGGACTCGATCCCGGGACTCCAGGATCATGACCTGAGCCGAAGGCAGTCGCTTAACCAACTGAGCCACCCAGGCGCCCCTTAAACATATTTTATTAGACTTATTTCTAGGTACACTATATTTTTCATTGCTCTCATAAATGGTGGGGTTTTTGTTTTGTTTTGTTTTAATTTTGCTTCCTAACTATTGCTAGTGTATAAAAATGCAACAGAATTTTACTCTTGGTCTTTTTTTTTTTGTATGCCCGGTAATTTTTGGCTGAGTTCTGGACATTGTACATGAGAACTGTGTTTCAGGACCCCTTTGTTAGTCTAGTGAAGCCTGTGGACTCCTTCTTAGAAGAATATTTTTAAATGAGGAAAATAACATGCATGGAATTACAAAGAAATCAATTATATTTAATTGCAACCCAAAGGATCTTGGGGTCCATGGACCCCAGGTTAAGAACAGTATAGAAGTTCTGGATGATGTTATTTTCCTCCAGAGGGGGTTCACAGCAAACTTTGGTGAGGCAGATAGAGTTAAATCTGATCACCTTTATCCAACCATGAATTGAGCTGATTTGAGACTAAACTGCAGTTTTGGAAGGTTTCCTCTCCCCTGCCAGGGTGTACCCCTCCAGGAGTCCCAAGATCAGAACTTATTTTAGTGTCACTTCCAACAAAGAGAAAATCCCAACCGCCCAGAGTTTTAGGGAATAATATATTTGGCAGAAGCAAATACATTTCTGCAGATAATAACCTCAGACAGATTGTAGATATCAAGACATTTCATCACAGGGTTCTGACATTTAAAAACTCAGGAGTTTAGAGTTTTGTTGGCTTTCAGAGATAGGCTGGGCTTAATAAGCCAAATAAATTATTCTTTAGTTTTCTGCTGAAAATGCTGTAAATAGATTTTACAAGTTCTGTTTGTCATCTTTTTATGAGGAATACTAACTCTTCCTCTAGCATAATATTTTTCTGAAGGAAAGAGCATTTCTAAATATATTTGTTAATTACCAAATAACAAGACAAATGAAAGATTAGAGTTCAGTTGCCTTCTGTCCTTTCACTGATCCAAAAATTGTTTCAGATATTTTAAAGGTACAATTCTGACCTGGTAGTTAACTTACATTGGGTTTTGGCAACAGAAAGTGTTATATAATAGTGCAGCCTCCTTTTACCAAATAGAGATCTGAGCTTTAAAAAAAAATCTCACTCTTTAAATTTAGAAATATTGAATGTTTGGTTAAGAAGGACTTTTTTTTTTAGCACTTTATTTTGTTAGAGTAGTTTTAGGTTCACAACAAAATTTAGGGGAAGGTACAGAGATTTCCTATATGCCCCCTGCTTCACACATGCACAGGCTTCCCCATTACCAACATCCCCTACCATAGGGTACATTGATTAGCGCTCATGAACCTAGATTGACACATCCTAATCAGTCTAAAGTTTACATTATAGCTCAGTTTTGGTGTTGTACATTCTATGGGCTTAGGCAAATGCATAATGACGTACCCATCATTATAGAATCATACAGAGTATTTTCACTGTCCTAAAAATCCTCTGTGTGTTGCCTCTTCCTGCCTCCCCCAAGCCCCAGACAGCCACCATTTTTTCTTCTGCTGCTGTAGCTACAGTTTTGCCTTTTCCAGAATGTAGTATCATCACAATCACACTGTATATAGCCTTTTTATATTGGATTCTTTCACCTAGTAATTTGTATTTAAGGTTACCTGTTTTTTCATGGCTTGAAAGCTCTTTTTTTTTTTTTTTTTTTTTTTTAGTACTGAATAATATTCTATTGTCTGGAAGTACCATAATGTATTTATCCATTCACCTACCAAAAGACATCTTGGTTGCTTCCAAGATTTGGAAATTATGAGTAAAACTACATACTGCAGATTTTTGTGTGGACATAAGTTTTTAACTCCTTTGGGTAAATACCACGGTTGTGCAACTGTTGGATTGTATGGTTAGAGTATGTTTAGTTCTGTAAGAAACTGCTAAATTGTCTTCCAAAGTGGCTGTACTCTTTTGCATGCCCACCAGCAATCAGTGAGAGTTCCTGTTGCTCCACACTCTCACCAGCATTTGGTGTGGTCAGTGTTCTGGATTTTGGACATTCTAATAGCTGTGGCATCTCATTGTTGTTTTAGTTTGCATTTCCTTGGTGACATATGATGTAGAGCATCTTTTCATATACTTGTTTGCCATCTGCATATCTTCTTTAGTGAGGTGTCTGGTAAGGTCTTTGGCCCATTTTTAAATCAAGTTGTCTGTTTTCTTATTGTTGAGTTTTAAGAGTTCTTTTTATACTTTGGATAATAGTTCTTTGTCAGAAGTATCTTTTGCAAATATTTCCTCCACAACTCTAGGGCTAGTCTTCTCATTTTCTTGGCATTGTCTTTCACAAAGCAAGTTTTAATTTTAATGATGTCCAGTTTACCAAACATTTCTTTCATGGATTGTGCAAGAAGAATTTTTCCCTTCTGATATTTTTTATAATTTTTTTCTTATTAAAAAGATACAACAATGAGTAGAGTACAATACTCTCCATATTATTCCAATTTCTTGAGGTCAGTTGGAAGAAAAATACAGTCATCTATAGTATGTAGTTTTAAAATGGTCATTATAATTCTCTACCTTATCTATTCAAATCAATTCAAACATTTATTGAGTATCTTCTACAAACCATGTACCATGGTAAACATAAATAAATAATATGGTCTTGCCTCAGAGAGTCTACATTTTGTATCATGCTCGAGTGTAAGCAGTACAAGATTTCTCCATAGGCTAAGTGTATCAATAAGTCAGGAATCAAAAACAAAGCAAAACAAAAAAATGTATATATTTAAATTTTATTTATTTATTCATGAGAGACAGAGAGAAAGAGAGAGGCAGAGGGAGAAGCAGGCTCCCCGCTGAGCAGGGAGCCTGATGCGGGACTCCATCCCAGGACCCCGGGATCATGACCTGAGCTGAAGGCAGACACTTAACTGACTGAGCCACACAGGTGTCCCAAAAATATATATATTTAAAAGTAGGCTCCATCAGGCGCCTGGGTGGTGTAGTAAGTTACACACCCAATTCTCGGTTTCGGTGGTTTCGGTTCAGGTCGTGATCTCAGGTGGTGAGATCGAGCCCAGCTTTGGGCTCTGCACGCAGTGTAGAGTCTGCTTGAGACTCTCTCCCTCTCTTTCTGCCCCTTTCTACTGTGTTCTCTCTCTAAAATAAAATAAATAAATCTTAAAAAAAAAAAGTAGGCTCCATGCCCAACATGTGGCTTGAACTCACAATCTTGAGATCAAGAGTTGCGTGCTCTACAGACTGAGGTAGCCAGGCACCCCAACAAAATATTTTTTGAATAAAACATTTATTTTTCATAAAATTATTTAGCATTTTGCAAAAAAGTCAGAAAAATCTAGAAATTATTAACTTCAGCTCACATATAAGTTTTGAGTTTTATGGTTTAGTGTTGTTCTCACTTTGAGGTGCATAGAGGGCAGGTGGTGGGCACATTAACCTTCTCAGTGCTGGGGGCCACTAAAGGTCTTAGTGTAGTTTGAGTTTAAGCTTTGACTTTATGAATTTGATT